TAGATGCGTTCCCTGGATGCAGTGGAGTTTTTCCTGGATACCTCCGGTATCCCAGAAAAACCCCATAGTCTAGACATAGCCTTATTGATTATCTGTTCTGTTCATTCCCTCAGTGGCCAATGCCTGTCAGAAGACAGGATACTAGGCTAGATGAACCTTTGCTCTGACTCAGTATAGCTGTTCTTATGTTATGTTCTATGATTTCAGAAGGGTCACAAAGTTGTAGTAATTGGTCAGCTGTCAATGTCTTTTAGAGCTAACTCTGTAGGACGTTGGGGATTTCTGCTTCTATTTTGTAGCTCTGGCCTGATGCAAATCCGAACAGCAAAAGATGAAAAATGTTCTTATGAACTATTTTTGTTTTCTTTTTCCAAAATGCAAGCTGATGGGATGATCATTTTTGCTTGTCTACTTCGTCACATCCATGAAGAGTAATTAATTTTTGTATTAGGACATCCCCCCCCCATGTCTCATTTAGTTTGTAGAAACCTTCTTGATGAGCAGGAAATGATCCCTTCTGAACTGGGTTTGTGGCTTCAGAGCAAATATTTTTTACAATTACACAGTAAAAACTTAAATGATCCCTTATTGCATAGGATAAAGACATTATACGTTAAATTAATGCATACAGCAATTTATAAGCATTTCATAAAGTCTAAATACTTTACTTTAAGTCTGATACCAATCTCAACCAGACTAACAGATCCTGGTTTCCAGCAACAAGTTTATCAGTGCTCAGTTGAGGAGCACGACCTTGGCAAGAGCTGATACCTGATCTGTCAATACCACACAGACATCCTCCGTAATTCATTCCTTCTGGACTTCTTATAACTCACTATTTTCAAGGCTTTTTTTCTTATTTGCTAGTTAGTACATTTCTTTAAGACACGCAAGTTTCCTTAACCAAACTTAAAATAACGCAAGTTCTTTGATTTCATATTTACGCTGCACAGTGGGAGCTCTATTTGTATAAATCTGATCCAGTTGGGGAAAGTAAATGAATCTTTATATAGAGAGATCTGTGCATCTGTCTGTGTTTCTGTCTGAGTCAGTTTGTTCAAGAACTCCTCCTAAATAGCAAGAGCTAGGGCCACCAAATTTGATACGCAACATCCTCTTACCCTAACTTAAAGCAAGGTCAGAGTTCAGTTGTGCCAGGAACATGGGAAGTTCCAGGAATAGGATTGTTTCCCATAACATGGAAAGGGAGGGGCTGTTCCGAGGGACTAGGGTTGCCAGGTTTTGAACCGGACAGTCCAATATTTGAGCTTTATGTTCGGGAAGCAAATTGAGAAAATAGAAATGTCCGGTATTTTCTAAATCAGATGTAATGTAGGTTGTGATGTCATGTCAAGTATTTTTGTTGAAACCATCTGGCAACCCTACAAGGGACACGAAACAGAGGGGTTACTGGGGGAAGTTGTAAAACCATGAGAGTGGCCAGCAGGGCTGGTGCTCCTGCTATCTTGACTGCCACCAGACTAGGTAAGTAGCTCCCCCTCCTCACCTCCCCCATGCTCAGGACCCCATTTCCACCCGGGAGCTTCCCCACCAAGAGAGGCTATGAAACCATCTGGCAACCCTACAAGGGACACGAAACAGAGGGGTTACTGGGGGAAGTTGTAAAACCATGAGAGTGGCCAGCAGGGCTGGTGCTCCTGCTATCTTGACTGCCACCAGACTAGGTAAGTAGCTCCCCCTCCTCACCTCCCCCATGCTCAGGACCCCATTTCCACCCGGGAGCTTCCCCACCAAGAGAGGCTA